GAGAGGCTTCACCAGAGACAGAGCGGGGAGCAGAACAGGCAGATTGATGAAGTACACTGCTGAGGAGAGCAGCAGGCGGGTCAGGAGAGCTCTGCCACGCCATGTGGATCTCCCCTGGGGCAGGCGGGAATCGAACTCATGGGGAAGTGACTTAAGCTTCTTAGTGCTGTGCTTTAACCTGCTGCACCACCAGGGAGGGCCTATACTTTAAAATTTTTAAGACTAGATTTGTAAGCTACATCAAAATAAGTCTATTTCAACATTTGATTTTTTATTAACATTTGATTCCTAAAGTATTATAACCAAGAACTGTTCCTCACTTTAAAAGAGATGTTTTATTCCATCCCTCCCCTCCAACCTTTCAATCTAATTTTATACATACCCAAACATACACTCACAGAGCACTTCATCATGGCTTGAGAGCACTATTTATATTTCCTAAATGCATTTCTCCTGATGCTATAGTGAAATAGATTCAATACTTTTTTTTCTACAATTTCTCCACTTATTTCTCAAAAAATCATCTTTTTACTTACAACTATGATCCTTAAAGATCTGACTATAACAAGGTTCTTTGGGGATGATAATGGATATAAAACACTGAGATAGTCATAAAAACTCAAATCTAAAACTGTGCCATTGGGATGAAGTGTCACATTCAAAAACATTTATATAGATACCTTTTTTTTCTGTTTTCTACTGGGAGGGAAGCTGTTGTCAGTGAACTGTGCATCATATTTTCGTGGAAAATAAGGATGTTTCACTAAAAAATAAAAAGGCCAATAATAAATGCAGTTATATAGCTATTTAAAATTTTATCTGCTAGAGCATTCTCCAAATACTTGAGTAGAAATAGTGATAAACTATTGTTTTTAAGGTGATTAGAAGTTCAAACAAATTAACGAAGATTAAGATTAGTGTGCCGAATAAATAGAAATTAATACTTATTAGTGAGATTAGGCATCTATGTCAAAGAATGGACAAGCTAACCTGATGAAATTCCTTGAAGTTATTTCAAACATAAGAAAAGTGTAAATCATAAAATCCCTAATACATTCTGTTACCATGAAAAGAGAATCTATGAAACATGTTTTCTCCCAAATTCTCTCCTTTTTTATTACCACAACACAAGTCTGAAATCCTATGCCAACTTCTCAGGTTGTCTCCCAGTTTCTAAACCCTCTCTTCCAACAGATCCCATACACTGACACTAAAAAATTCCTCCAATTATCACAACCTGTTCAAAAATTGTCCTGGAGTCCTTCAATGAGATCCCAGTTTATTTTCTAACTCTACTCGACCCCACACACCCTACAGACTGTGTTTCCATCACACCAGAATACTACAATCTTCAGAACTCATACTTTGGAACTCATATTGACACCTTTGCCCTAAGAAGTATCTCTTTCTAAATTCTAAACATCTCCCAAGACACTTTCCAAAAGCTTTTCCCAACTTCCTCCCTACACCGAAATCACATTTTATGTGCCTCTATCATCAATAATACTGTACTGTGATTTATAGATGACAAATCACCTGACATGAGACTGTTTCAGGCACATTCATAGTCTCAGCATTTGGCACACAATTACTTGTAATTAATTTAATGCAAACCGAATCTCATATAAAGTTGGAGAATTCTGTGACTTTAATTGCAATCTATGTGCTTTAATTTTAACCTATATGCTGATGACACCCACACTTAACAGCTCCAGGCCCAAACCTCTCCTGAAAGTACAAACTAATAGCTAACAGCCTATTCAATAATTCGACTGGACACAAACATATTCCAAACTCAATTCAATTATTTTCCAAGTCGGCTTTTAACATCTATTTCCCAATGTTTGACAAAAAAAAAATCTTTGTCATTCCTGCCTCTTCTTTGCTTCATATCCCACATCCCACATATGTTATCATTCAGTTGATTATGCTGGCCCTAATCTAGATTCAAAATACATTTAGAAGCCAACCACCCATCAACTACTGAGTTTCACCCTAATCCAAATCCCAATATCTATTACTTGGATACTTGCAATAGTTTTTTAAATAGTCTCCCTGTTATTCTATTCCAATCAGTACCCACATTATTCTTTTCAAAAATCAAATCATGTCACTCCCCTGCACTACCTGTATCACAACAGGGTAAGTCAAAGTCTCATGGTCTACAAGGCACTAAAACATCTGTCCTCTTCCCCAATCTTCTACATTTCTACCCCAGGTTCAGTGAGTGCTCTCTTGCCACACTAGCTTCCATTCTTCTTACCTGCTGCTTCAAGATCTTTATACCTGTAGTTCCTCCTGCCTATATTCCTATCCCCTCAGATGTATCCATGGCTCTGACCTACCTCCCTAAAATCTTTACTCAAACGTCAGCTTCCTTATTACTGACACTTAAAACTTTTTAAAAACCCTCTCTCCATAGCACTCACTGCCTACCCCGCTTATGGTCTTTCTACACCAGAAGACATTAAGTTCAAAAAAAAACATGGATGTTTGTATGTTTTGTTCTCTGCTATATTCTCAGTCCCTGGTACTCAGCTGGAACTCGATAAGCAACTGCTAAACTGAATTGATCAAACTGTAAAACATTAATGACCAAAAGTGCAGGGCAGACTCAGTAGCAGCGAGAGTGAGGGTGAAGGGAGGGAAGGAGAAATGAGATAAGCAACAATAGCAGGTAAAAAGGTGGTACAGAGAAAATAACCTACCTGGAGTGTTGTGGGACTTCTGATGCTGAGGGAAAACACCAGGAGACTGTCCCCAGTACCATGATGTAGAAGCATGGAAATTCCAGGCAGGCTGGCCATTGAGCTGATGCTGAGAGTCAACGGGAGACTGGGCGTCAAAGGGGGGCTGCGCGCCGGGAAGAATCTGGGTATCGAAGGGGGGCGGCGTCTCGGTTAAAGACTGGGCCTTTGTGGGGGGCTGAGACTGAGTAGATTGTGACCCGGCTGCAGGCGGCAAAGACGAAGGCGGTGGTGGTGGTGGCAGCATTGCCCAAAGCATCCAGTTGTCCGGCGGCGGGGCAGTGTCGCTCAAAGGTCCCAACGCGGGGGGCACCTCTGAGGCTGGAAACCATGCCGGGGAAGCCACGAAGCCTCCAGCAGGCTCAGCCATGCCAGCCACCAGCCTGGGAACCTACCATGCGACTGTGGAACACGCGTTAGGCGTCACTTCCGTTATAGCGACTACACTGCTCAACCAACTGCAGGGTGCAACGTCACTGGTCGGCGCCGGAAGAGTTCCCAGGGTTGGCGGCCGAGTTTACGCTCCCAAAATAGGTGGATTAGACGTGTGAGTAGTGCCGGCCACCGGATGGCGAGGGATCTCATCGGACCCGCGCTACCGCCGGGCTTCAAAATTCGCGGGACAGCGGAAGACGAGGAGCGGGACCCAAGCCCAGGTAAGCAGAGGCGTGTACCCGGATCGCCACGCACGCCCACCCCCTCTTTGGCCCAGCCTTACTCACTGAGAAAGGGTCTGAGACCTGAAAGGCGAAAATAGACAGTGGACGCGCGGCGCGGCCCCAGCTAACTTTCCATCTGAGGCTCCTGGAGTGGTGAGAAAGGCCAGGGGCCCTCAGAACAGAGCCTGGTAAATATTATAATAATTGATGTATTCCCATTCAACTTTTAGCTACACACACAGTCAAGTCATTTAATCCTAGCAACTGTATGATTGTTTTACCTTACAAGCCGAGGCATTGAGTTCCAAGTTACTGTCCACATCACACAACTAGTAAGTGAGTGAGTGCAATTTAACCACAGATCGTGCTCTGTGCCATCTTGCCTTCGAATGTACAATGTCTTTGGCTTTTGCAGAAGGTGCTGTGCTCTCGGTCTCGCGACCTATCTTCCCTGCCTCAGCATCTGTCATTGCCTTCAGCTCACACATTTCAGCGCTCAAGCCGGTAATGGTTTCTGGCAATTCCTCAATTCCTTAGGCTCCTTATGGCCTCTCTCTCTCTCTCTGCTTCTTTGATATACCTAACAAACTTCTACTCCATCTTTAAATGTCACCTCTTTGAGGCCTTTCCAAACTTTGTCATGCCTTCCTCTTTTCCCACAGGTTTTTTTCATAACTTAATTTCATTATATACTGAACGGTTTTTGAGTAACTTGTTGGCATCGCTCTCCACCACTGCACTATCGTCTTCTAACAATGTACAGTAGGCACTTCATATTTGCTAAGTAAATAAATGCCTGAGATTCTTCCATACATATTGTCTCCTTTAATGTTTGTTCCAAGTTGAAGACCAACACTGATACTAACGTTGGAAAAGATTATAGCTAAAAGAATAACCCTTCCATTTCTAAACCATTTTCATTCTTTGACTATGCAGAGATATGTTTCCACCTAACGATTTCCTTCCAGATCTCATTTGTATTACAGCCATTACTAAATTATGCTTTTATTTTAACAAGAACTGGGAAATATATATGACGAATTCAGAATAAAGTGGAACATGACAGGTTGCAGGAACAGAGAAGACCAGGTAACTTAAGCAGAGAAATCCAAGAGGGAGATGAGATTACCACTGCCCACCTGAATGCCACATTTTCACATAACCTCAAAGACCAAATTAAAGACATTTTGGCCTCTATTCCAAGAACAATGGGGTGCCATTGAAAGGGTTTTTTTCCCCCTTAATATTTTTACTGAAATGAAGTATAAATTAGATACAGAAGAGATACATAAAATATACTTGATGAATTTTCACAGCCGCACCCAGCAATGTGACCAGTATGCAGAAGGTCCCTTCATGCCCCTTCTCGTCCCTGATCCTTCCAAGAGTAACTGCCTAAGTTGTCTAACAGAATAGATTAATTCATTTGTTTTTATACTGTCAGAAGTAAAATCATACAGTATGCTGTTTTTCGTGTGTAAAATGATTTTAAGAACTTAATCCAAGGTTTGACATCAAATTTGCATGATAAAAAGACAATATCCTTCAACATCTACCCACTCTCCCTCCTTCTCTTCTCTCTCCTTTCAGGATTTTAATGTATTGCACTGACATCTTGCAAGTTGAGAAACAAAGACCGAATTAACCTCTCAGTGCCTGGGACTGTCCTGGTTTTAGCACAATGCAGACTGATTTGTAGGTCTGGGTGAGACCTGAGATTCAGCATTTCTAACAAGCTCCAAATGCTGCTGCTGCTGGTCCTGCTGGTGCCAGGACACTGAGTGGTGAGGGTTGGGAACAAACTTTGCTTTTTCTGTCTGCATTTACTGCACTGAGTTATAATTTCCTGTTTGCTGATTTCCTCACTAAACCTTGAGTTCCCAAGGAAAGTAAGTGACCACATCCCATGCCTTCTGCAATTCCCAGCACTAGTACTGCTGACTAGTAGAGGAGAGAGTAAACATTCCCCACAAGGAACTAGAGTTCAGGCCAGAGAGTCAGCCAGGACCAGTATGAATGCCTTTGTGTGGGACCTGGAAGGAACCTGGTGCCTGCTAAGGGTGGGAATTTTTTTTTTTTTTTAATAAAATACAAATAGTATAAAATTTACTATCTTAACCTTTTTTGAGTACTGTTCAGGTGCCTAAACTTTATTCACTTTGTTATATAACCATCACCACCATCCATCTAGAACTCTTCCCATCTTGTAAAACTGAAACTCTCCACCCGTTAAGTAGTACTTTCCCGAGCCCCCACCCTGCCTTCCTCAGACTGCTGACAGCCACTTCTTTCTGTCTCTATGAATTTGATTGGTCTAGGTAACTCAAAATATAAAATATAAGTGGAATCATGTATTTATCTTTTTTGTGACTTATTCATTTAGTGTACTCTGCTGAAGGTTCATTGATGATGTAACATGTCAGAATTTCCTGCTGGTAGGAATTCTTGAATCTGGTATAATAGCTACCTGTAGTCCTCATACTCAGCTTCCCTGAAAGAGATCACTGACAGGTATGATTAGAGTTCAGAGAAGGGAGAGAGGACACAGGTCTGAGATGGGTAAATTAACTTTGTTCAAAAGGCCTGGAAAATTGAATGTTGGTTACTGGCACCTAAAATTGTGTTGTTGGAATCCCTGGGTTGCAAATGTTTTCTCAAAACCAGTCCACATAATCTGTTTGCTGATATGTGGAAGCTTGGTCAAGCCTTGGCTACTTTAGCTCTAACACCATTCTCCTCATCTGCAGTGACCTTCACTTACATTAATTTCAATTATTTTTGTACTCAGACACTGGACCCAATCCCATCTCTGAAAACTAAAATTCTAATTTCATTCACATTATTCGCCATCATTCTCACTTAACTTGCTCCTTTTACAGTTTTTTATCTTTGCCTTTTAATCTCTTTGGGCCATTCAGTGTCTGCCTCTATCCTTGTTGGCTTTCTTCCTTAAATTACTTCTATTCCTGCTCAACTTAGATTCCATGGTCCATTCATTCAATCATCCTCTTGCCAGCAGTGTTCAACTACCTCATCCCATTCCACATTCTATTAAACCACCTGGCAAAAACCTAGCCCTGGATCAATAAATGTTCACCTCTTGTGAAGCTACACCCCAGCCTTCCAAATGCTGATAAAAGAAATCTCATATGACCCTCCTTGATGGCACAATGGGTTAAGAAGCAGCACTGCAAAGTAGCTGCAGCCACTTAGGTGTAAGTTCGATCCCTGGCCCTGGGGGTGACCCACATGGTGAGGCAGACCTCTCCTGACCCGTTCACTGTTCCCCTCAGCAGTATACTTCTTCGATGTGCCTGTCCTGCTCCCCACTCTGTCTCTGGTGAAATCTTTCACCACCACCACCACTCCCCCGCCCCCCGCTCCTCTGGCCTATACCCCAGTTCTGTATGCATAAATAAATAAAGCTTTAAAAAATACATACTATTCTCCTTGTACTTTAGCAAGCTTACAGGGAAGAGGAAAAAAAAAAAAGAAGAAACCTCATACATCCACAGGCTAATGCTACCAAAAATTATAGTCCCTCCCTATCTGTGTCCTCCACTCTGCCCAGCAAGCCTCAGTGTTTTTTCCATGCAGCTCTGTTATGGAAATAACTATCAACTGGCTTTTTAAAATCTCTTTTCCTCTACTTTGCTGGAAAGGTTGATGTCATCTTAAAAAAAAAAAGCCTTCAATTTTCTGTCACTGCCTAGTAACTTTTCTACCTCCATGCCCAGCATTTTGTTTTCTCGGATTACAGGGAGAGAGATTGTAAGCCTGTGTGAGTCTTACAGTTATACTGTAAAAGACTGCCTTCCTGAAGTTGGAAAGATAAAACATTGTACATAAACCAGGAGCAAGTGAAGTTAAAGTTCATAAAACATGTTAGACAATGCAGTCAGTGTCAGCAAAGGAAGTGTAACATCCCAACTAGTCTTCATGAAGAAACTGGCTACTATGACATACACAGAAAATCTTCTTAGTTGCAGGACCAGCTCTGCCCCCTAATTATAAACGCAGTAGTTCAGAGTCATCAGACAGTGATGAAGACAGCAGTTCTCTGTATGAAGAAGGAAATCAAGAATCCGAAGAAGATGACACTGGTCCAACTGCAAGGTCAGTTCAACAAAATACTAACCAAGCTTCAAACCTAGTACACATCATAAAACATGTTAGACAATGCAATCAATGTCAGCTGGAACAGGTCACTGGGAAGGGGCTGTCACATCAGCATTCATGAACAATGAATGCTGTGATAATTCCTCATGCACTATATATTCTAAAAAGAAATCTAGTAGTATATAACTATGGAGGGCCCTTCATGGTGGCGCAGCAGGTTAAAGCACTGCACTAAGAAACTTAAGCCAATTCCACATGAGTTCGATCCCCACCTGCCCTGGAGGAGATCCACATGGCGTGGCAGATCTCTCCTGACCCGCCCGCTGCTCCCCTCAGCAATGTACTTCGTCGATCTGCCTGTTCTGCTCCCCACTCTGTTCCTGGTGAATCCTCTCACCCTCCGCATCTCTGCCCTGTACCCCAGTTCTGTATGAATAAATAAATAAATCTTTTTAAAAAAAAATTCCTATGTAAAGGATTTTTCCTTAAAGTATTATTAAAGTGGCTGGATATTATAAATAAATCATGGAATTTCTTTTTAAAAATTACTTTTCTTGTATATATTTTTTGTTTAAGTAAATCATGATTTCCTTCTACCCATCTTTAATTTACCCACCCTGCAAGTCTCTGTAAATAAGAAATAGAGTATCTGTTTATTCTTGGGCAGCAATTGTGGGTTGGGGGAGAGGGGAGGGTTGTTGATACATTTTAAAAGTTACCAGATAGAAATAACAACTTAAAACCTTTTCTTAATTAAAATCAGAGTCTTGTACTTTTTTCTCAAAAAACACCTAGCAAGCAGATAATTAGAATTGTTAACAATACAGAAATTTACAAAATTCACATACTACTGTTGTAAAGAAGTAATCAAGGTCTATTTTAGTCTAAAAATAAAATGTTAAGGTTTCTTATATCCATTTGTTTTTAATTTGGCAAGGTTGATTTATTGTTTTCATATTTATGTTCAGATATATGCTGTAGTACAAACAGGTATTATTCATTAGTTGAAATTAATGTGACCTTTAAATTTAAAAACCAAAATTTCTCTGAAAAAAATATTTTTTCTCACAGAAAACAGAGAAAAAATGAGGATGATGGTAATGATGACGATGAAGGGTTTTTTGGGCCAGCCCTTCCTCCTGGATTTAAAAAGCAGGATGATTCTCCTCCAAGGTGAGAATGTGTACTCTTTCAAGCCAGTGTTTTCTGAATATTTCAGCTAGTGTCTATTAATACAGTGACGAGTTGTGTGAAATCGTTTGTAACTAATATTTGTATAATATTTGAAACTTCTATAGCAATGTATACAATACAAATAATTGCTTAAAGTTTAATTATTTACATGTTTACAACACTTTTTGTAGTTTATATCAAGAAAAACTTCCACAACTCCTATGTGATACTTACAAAATAGTTTGTGGAAAGTGGAGTCAAACATTACCCCTCTACCTCCCTTTTTTCAGATAGATAAGGTTGCATACATAGGAAGTAGTAAACCTGGGACTAGAATCCTGGTATTTGACTCAGACTCAGATATTTTCTAAGCTATCTCTTGGTAAAAACAAATTCCTATATGCTGAATTAGACAGTTTGACTGACTTCTCTTACCCTCAGATTTGTCATATGTAAAGCAGGATAACATATTCCTCCTTACAGAATGTTGTAATGGGAAGGTTTTGTATTTATTTACATGTAGATGTACACACACACAGTATATCTTACTTGGTGACTGGCACAGGGTAAACATATAATAAATATTGATTCCTGTCTTTAAAATTTTAAATTGTAAAATTTTAAAAGCTAAATATGAATTTGCATACCAAGTTACTTATAACTCATAGGACTAGTAAAAAGGACTGTCGAACACTTCATATTCCTAGTTTATTATCACATTGATCAGCTCTAATGTTCATGCAATCTTGATCTTGTTTTAATGACATAGGCAGCTACTATCTTTATATGGTCCCTAAATTAAGGATAATCTTTAAAAGATCATTTGAAAAAACAAAGACAGATAGGCCACAGAGATCCAAATGTTACTCCTAAAGCCTAAAATTTCCTGTCTGCCCTTTATAGGAAATTTGTTGACCACTGGACTATAGCATTTCTTACAGGAAAACACAGTATTAGATGTATAAGAATTTCTTTATCCCTCCCTTTCTCTTTTTATATTAAAAAAAAAAGGAAGGGACGTAAAGGATGCTTGCAGTCCCAAGTACGCTGAAAGAGCTGCCCCTGAAAGAGACAGGTTGTTAGAAGTGAGGCCTGCATAGACTCAGCTAGGCAGGCTTGGAGGATAGCTACCTTTGCTGCTTTGCAAAGGGACAGGGTTGGTGATGAAAAACACCTACACAGTCACAGGCAGGCAAGAGAGCTGCTGTAGGAATTGAAAATTATATTTTGGTAATAATAAAATATACCTGTAAGAAATAGACAAATAATAGCATATATTTATACAGCTATAACATCCCATAGTTATATTCTGTAACAATATTTGAAGATTTTATGTAACAGTAACTCTCACAAATTCTCCAAGGCCAGAAAATGGGCTACAGTTACATTTGTAGATATGCTAAAAATTACACACAGAAAAAATGCATTCAGTACTTCATTATAGCTTAGAAATTATAATAATCTTCCTCACAGTGCCAAACTTCCCCATTTTTATATGCAAAAGTGTTCTGATTTTATGACACAAAACAAGTAGTTATTAAATAGCCAGGATTGGAACTGATACTCTCTAATGTTCAGTACTGTTTTTCCCCTGCCGTATACATATGAGGCTCTAACTGAACACAGTACAAACTAGAAAGTTCAGCTTGGGACTTCAGTGCCATCTGGTTGGTAATAGTAGCACAGTGACATCTCTGGAAAAAAACACTGGTATGAAAGAAAGGATAAAAACATTTAAAACTGGGCCTCCCTGGTGGCGCAGTGGATTAAAGCACAGCAAAAAGAAGCTAGTCATAGCCACTTCAACATGAGTTTGATCCCCAACCAGGGAGCTGACCCACATAGCATAGCAGACCTCTCCTGTCTCACCTGCTGCTCCTCTCACCAGTGTACTTCTCCATCTGCCTGTTCTGCTTCCTGCTCTGTCTCTGGCCTATACCCCAGTTCTGTATGCATAAATAAATTTAAAAATAAAACTTAGGCCCTCCCTGGCGGCACAGCGGGTTAAAGTACAGCACTTCAGAAGCTATCGCAGCCACTGCAGCATGAGTTCGACCTCCAGCCAGGAGGGAAGTGACCCACATGGTGTGGCAGACCTCTCTTGACCTGCCCACTGCTCACCTCAGCAGTGTACTTCTTTGATCTGTCTGTTCTGCTCCCCACTCTATCTCTGCTGAATCCTCTCACCCCCTGCACCTCTGGTCTATACCCCAGTTTTGCATGCATAAATAAATAAAGCTTAAAAAAGAAAAAAACTTAAACCTATGAAAAGCACAGAAAGCAATCTTTTTTTTTTTTTTTTTTCCTACACAACATAAGACTTTCTTCTTTCAAAGCTCAGGGTTTTGGCACATCTCTTTTAGACTATACCACATTCCTTCACAATGTGGCAACAGTGCTCTCTGAAAGAAAATGAACTTTGGATTCAAGTAGACCAGGGTTTTACTGGGATCCTACCCCAGTTCTTAAAGTTACTAGTTCATATTGTCTTTGGACATTATTTTCCTCACCTAGAAAAAAAGAGTCTTATACCAACCTACATTGTGGTAAAGAAATAGAAAATATATGGGTTGAGATGTGGTTGGCAGGCTACCTTTTTCTTTCTCTAGTAGATTGTAAATGATCTATTTTCATTCTGTATACTTCTGCATCCTTCCTAGGTTATTAGTGAGAATAATCTCTAGGTTTTTAATAACACCTTGACACACAGATGGCTGACAGCTGTTGATAGGCATGCATTATATGGCCTAAGAACTCAATATTTAATTGTTCCAGCTATAATTGCCATGTCCCAAAGATATTATTTGATGGAGAGTGAATACCAAAACAGATGCCATGGCTAAATACAGAAAAAGAGCGTCAGGGGCTTTTAGTTCATAATGAGAACTTTTAAAAACATACATTAATTTTTTTTTTTAAAGATTTATTTATTTATTCATATAGAACTGGGCTACAGGCCAGAGATGTGGAGGGTGAGAGGATTCACCAGAGACAGAGTGGAGAGCAGAACAGGCAGATCGACGAAGTACACTGCTGAGGGGAGCAGCGGGCAGGTCAGGAGAGGTCTGCCGCGCCATGTGGATCTCCTCTGGGGCCGGCGGGAGTAGAACTCATGCGGAGGTGGCATAAGCTTCTTAGTGCTGTGCTTTAACCCTCTGCGCCACCAGGGAGGGCCCACATTAATTATTTTTATTTAGCATAAGTTTCCTAGGAAGTAGACATACACAAAGCACGTGAATTGTAGATTTAGTATCTAGTCATTGACTAACAAAGTTGATGTGAAAATATTAAATTTGTTAAAATAATAGTAAGACACTAGGTTATATCATAAAAATAATAGGTTAAATAAAATCCTCATTTTCAAAATTTGTTATTGTCTGACAGTTTTATGAACTTCTTAGTCTGAATTACACTGATGAAGGTACATTTTATATTTCAGACCTATAATAGGACCTGCATTACCACCTGGTTTTATTAAATCTACACCAAAAAGTGACAAAGGCAGAGATGATCCAAGACAACAATATGTCAACTCTGAGGTTTGGAAAAATTTTTTTTTATTAAAGAGTAAGATGTAACATGCTCAAAACTATGTAGTAATAATTGTAATCATTTGATTCAAATGTGATGGAAGATGCAGTCCTATTTCAAGATTGCAAATAGGTAAGATGAAATAAACTTACCATAGACCTGAGATTCTATTAGGAAAATAACAAGGCAGTTACAGATTGATGAGGCATTACCCATTGATGTTTCACATCCTTGAAAAGAAACTTATAAATTCTAGCAAATAGAACATGATGAAAGTGTAACAACTCATAATATATTTGAAAAAGAGAAAGCTGAGGAGCTTTATGATAATGATCTTGAGCTTCAAATTCCATCCAGTTTTCGGTGCCTATATATAACAAATTGTGCTATTTTTGAAAGATAGATCAAACAACTTTGAAATCAAATATGAAAGCTGTCTGCTGGTAAGAAGTTTAGTCTTTAACAATAGCTAAGATTTGTAGGGTACTCTATAATGCATTTTCCCCATATATAAATATATTCAGCTTCTGTGAGGCCTTATGAAGTAGATGTTACTCATATCTTGCTGATGCTAAAAACCAGAGAAGAGTAACTCAACATCACACATTTGTACTTATCAAAGCCAAAGCTCAAATCATGTTCTTAGGACTTTAAATTAGCTGTTCAGTTCATCATACTGCTGTGCCTACCTGCATGTGAATTCATATAATCAAAAAACCCTTGTGCCTTTCCCCAGAGAATTTAGTTGTAGCACTGAGGTAGTTGCTATAGGAAACATAATGGAGTGGTTAAGATCATGAACTTCAGAGTCATTAACTCATTCACTCAACACATATTTATAGAGCATCTATAGTGTGTCAGTCACATAGTTACAGAAATAAATTGTCAACAAATTTTGTTGTTCTTACTTTCAAAAGTCCTCCTCAATTTGAACCCATTTCTGCTACCACCTGGTCCAAGTCATCATATATTTTCTGTTTTCCTTTTCTTCATGTTTTTGCCTTTCTTCCTCTGCTCCTCATCTCCAAATACCAACTGGAGTGGCCCCGGTGAAACAAATTTTATCACCTATACTCAGTTACCCACCCTCTCTACATAAAAGCCAAAACCCCTGTAAGGCCCTGTACATTCTGGTCTCCTTTACCTTCCTGATTTCCCCTCTTAATTTGATTGACCACACTGAGACCCTTACTCTACTTTCTCAAATGTACCTGGCAGGTTCTTACCACTGACATTTATACCTATTTTTTTTCAGTCTCTCCAAAATGGTCTTCCCCAAGTTACTGATGGAACTTGCCTTCCAGGTCTTTAGTTTTGCTGGAATGTCACTTCAGTAGGTTATTTTCGGCTTCCTTTTCTACCACTGCGATCCTTCTCCCTGTACTCCTGTCCCTCCTTTAGTTTTTTCCACAATTTTAATCACCATCAAAGATTCCATTTATTTTACTGCTTCTTTCTCTTTATAGCTGACCTTTCCCCAGTAGAATGTGAGCCAGTGAGGACAGAGATTTTTGTCTTATTTCCAATGAGTATTCAAAATGTTTATTAGAGTCATCCATTATTTGTGGATGAAGGAGTAAGTCAGACAGCCCCTGCCCTCATCATACTTACAGTATTGTAGGGAATAGATACATTAAATAAATGATTTCTGACATTATACATACTTCAAAGGGGATGTAGAGGTATTGAAACCATGACAGGAAATCTAAACTGATGGTAAGAAGTAGAAAAAAGTCTTTTTCTTTAAGAAAATGTGTAAACTGAAGATTTATGAGTTGGCAATAGCTCTGCGAATTGGACAAGGAAGATTTTCTAGAGAGTACATGTTCCTTATTGAAAGGAGAAGAAGAAAGTGAAGGTTAAAGAATGCAATATGATTTGAGTGGAGAGAATGAGTAGGGAAAAAGGGAGAGGGAGGAAGAACAAAGAGCCACTTGGGCTTTGAATCCTGGCTGAGCTTAGTTATTACCAGTAGCCTGCATGTTAGTTTACTGATCTCACAGGGTTGTGGTAATAATTAAATCAGAATAGTATGTATTTGATTTATAGCGTTATTATTATCATCATCATTGTCATTATTATCTCCACTACTGATGTCTTGAGAGTTACTTTGGAGTATGAAGACTAATTGTAAGGAATCTTTTCTAACATGATTGTTAATATAAGAATAAATCACTAAAGGAAGGACGTCAGCAATATGGAAGACTAAGCTAACACGGTCTCACTGACCCTTCTTTCCACAGATACAACCAAATGGATAGAAGGGAGAGACAGTAACACAGTTAATACACAGCTAAGCTCAAAAAATAAGAAAAGAAAATCCATGGGCGCTAGTAACAATGAAGAGAATTCAGAGCCAGAGCAGTAAACACACATTGCCACAAAGGAGCCTATACTTTATAGAGCACAGCCTTAAGGTCTTGAGGACAGGGCCTGGCGAAATGTGAGCCACTGTCCTTAGGAAAGTGGGAAGGAAGGTTGCTTTACAGAAGGGCCTTTTTGTGCTGCATCTAACCTACTTTCACAGGGTGAAAAAAAAAAGATTGTGTATTTATCTATCTGTCTGTCAGCCTCAAAGATGAGGGTGGGGAAAGAGAAATGTGGTAAAATGGTAGCAATTGGTTGATTTGGGTGAGGATAGCATCCTTCAGCTTTTTCATAATTGGAACTTAGTTCACCTAGACAGCAAGTACATAGTGTATATAATTCCCTCTTAGCAAAAGGGAAGGGGAAAAGATTTAACCAGAGTATACCTGGTTAAAGTATTGCTGGTTCTGAATTATTATTATTATTCTGAATTATTTTGTTCCTTTCTTTCAAACCTTTTATCAGAAGACACTTCTGTTTACAGAGAGGCTTTTCTCATTTATGATATAACATCCAAATTAAAACACATGTAATAATACTAATAGCTAATATTTATTGAGCCCTTTTTACAAGCGAGGCACTACAAGGCACAACATAAATTTATATTTGCATGGCTGCATACACTTAATTACATAATACAATTAACAGTCCTGGCGATGCTGTATCAACTAGATTGCTTTTAGCTGTAAAAAATATAAAATCCAATCCAAAATGTAATTTTGCCTTAACCTACTTAGTGAACGTGTTGTTTATATATCCTTAGTGATATATATTCTGAATTCTCAAAATAAGGAAATGTTTTTCATATATAATATGAGGTCTAGAGGTAGGCTCATTCCAGGTTGGCTCATTGAGTGAGCTAATGAGATCTTCCAGGATTCTAGATTTTTCTCTTATTCTTCTCTATAGTATGTTAAACTCCTCCTACCCTGACCCCTTTATTATACTAACAAGCCTGCCAACGTTTTAAAACACAGAGATCCAGCAATGTCCAGATCAAAAGAGGTTCCTGTTCTGTGTCCATTTTATAAATCCTTGCCAGATTTCCTATAAAACTAACCTCCTATTCCTTTGGCCAGAATTGTAAATTATGCCCATTCCTAAACTAATCAGTGGATCAAGAGGAATGAGACCAAAGTGACTGGCTTAGAATTATCAGTGTTTTTACCTACCTCCAACACCTCCCCACTCCCCACCCCCAAGTTAAAGAACCATTTTCCTAGAAGAGACTGGAAAAAAACACAGGAAATTCTTTGCAACAGAGTAGTTATTGGTTGGGGCTGTTATAGTCCCCATCCTAAAAAATAAAGCCCAGACCTCGAACCGTTAAATAATACGCCTACAGTCCCAGAGCTAATCCAGTGACAAATTGAGGCTTTGAGGCTAAGTCTGTCTAACTGCAGCCCAAACTAAACAAATTGAATATAAAATTTATATTGTGTTTCTGCATAAAATAACTCACCTTTTAAAAATAATAATACCTAGATTGGATTTAGGTTTATAATGCACTTTCTGATTTTCAGTTTAGTTGGGCCTAATTTTCTGTTTGCTCGTCCATCTTCCCTTTTAGTTAATATCTTCCAACATCCTAACTGATGTTTGTTTCTAAAAATTTCAGACCTCATCCCTCCAGGACATACAGAAATTCTACCTTAATAAAACCATTTCATTAGATGACAGTAAGAATGCCATTAGCTTTTCCCAACATCTTAAATTTTAATAGTCTGTCAATGTCACTGTTTGAAGGGTTATTATATCTTCTATACCAATTCATTTTGTGCAGCCCAGTATTATATTGTAGGAAGTTATAAATGCATTTAAGATAATTTCTATGATGTCAAAGATTCTATTGCTATAGAAATAAGCTATAAGAAGTGGAATCATTAACAATTAAAATAAAATAATGAAGGGGCTGCTATTGTACAAGTGGGGAAAATAATGACTTTGATCTTAGAGTGTAAGCGTTAGGTACCAGTTTTATACCAGGAGACAAGTTGTTTAACCTTTCTAAATACACTTTAAACCTAGCTTTCTCAAAAAGAAAACAGGAATATCATGCCATTTCATAGCTTTCTAATGAGGACTAATTTGTGCCTAAGTCCATAGTCACTAAGTGTGCGTGTGAGAATCAGAATAAGCCATAAGATGATATGTCGTTATCTAATTATTTATACTAGTAGCAATTGCCATAAGGGTTCAGAGTGGAAATCACAGCAAGAAAGTTACCATTAAGTAGTTCATGGGAGAATGTTAATAATACAAATGAACTCATCCTAGTAGATTGGAGGAAGAACTGTTTATCAAAGCTGAAGGACACACATGTATATAATAGCTACCAGAGTCTCACATGGAAAACATTTTATTAAAATGATTTAATAAAAGCACATTGAACTCTTATTGTAATACTATACCATTAACTCTTTGAGATAAGTGAAATACTTTGGGAACCATATCAGCTCATTTGGATCAGTACTTTATAAGGTATTACATAGGATTTCTATTTCAGTGTGCTAAATCATGACTGACTCGGTTTCCAAGAATGCCTTACTTCTAAGCATCTTATTCCAGAGAGCTTTTTCTGTGCCAGAAATTGTTAAGGTTCAACTGGTGTCATCTCTGAAAAACTGGTAATAATTACTTAGAATACTATGTTGAGAAAACATTGTGAGCCCACATCTGTATCCATCAGGTAGAGCTGAAAGAGTTTCTTGAGGTCTCCCATGGACGTGGGGGGAAGGGGAGTAGAGGGACAATCTACATGCCGTGGATTTGCCATCTCTGCACTGTGCACCTGAAGAAAGCAAAGAAGGTGCTCAGTACACAGTGATTACCCAGCAAAGTGTTCCCTTTTTTGTCTTGCATCTAGGTAATCAGTTTCAAGTTAGAATTTTGGAATTGAGGATCATTTCTATAACTATAGCACTTGACTTAAAGGTAATATCTTTTTATAAAAGGAAACGGAGAGCAGTGAAGATGAGGACATTGTTGGACCAATGCCTGCAAAAGGACCAGTTAACTACAGTGTGACAACAGAGTTTGAAAAAAGAGCCCAGAGAATGAAAGAAAAATTGACCAAAGGAAATGATGTAAGTTTTAAATACACTTTAAGAAATTAAATATAGGGCCCTCCCTGGTGGCGCAGCGGCTTAAAGCACAGCACTGAGAAGCTAAAGCCACTTCCGCATGAGTTGGATCCGCCCCGGAGGTGACCACATGGCGTGGCAGACCTCTCCTGACCCTCCTGCTGCTCCCCTCAGCAGTATATTTCGTCGATCTGCCTGTTCTGCTCCCTACTCTGTCTCTGGTGAAGCCTAACACCGCCTCTGGCCTGTACCCCAGTTCTGTATGTACAAATAAATAAATCTTTAAAAAAAAAAAAAGAAATTAATATAAATTTTAAAATAGACATTAAAATTTATGTATATAAATAGAGAAAATTTAGGAACCAGGTAATCCAGAAGCTGTAAAGGAATAGATTTGCAATTATGCCTACTTAAAAATGTCTGTATAGAAAAAGATAACATAGTCAAAAGATCAGTAAATTTGATGAAAATATTTGTAATGTATATAATAAATGCATCAATCCTTCCTATTAAAGTTAATTAACTTTCAACCCTCAACTGAAAAACCTAGTTAGGGCCTTCCCTGGTGGCTCAGGGGATTAAATCACAGCACTCAGCCACTGCAGCATGAGTTCCATCCCCAGCTAGGGGGTGACCCATATGGCGTGACAAACCTCTCCTGACCCACCCGCGGCTCCCCTCAGCAGTGTATTTCAGTAGATATGCCTGCTTTGTTCCCCACTCTGTCTCTGGTTAACCCTCTCACCCCCCACATTTCTGGCCTGTACCCCAGTTCTTGTATGCATAAATAAATAAATCTTAAAGAAAAATCTGGGTAATTTGCATTTTATATACACTTTCCAGGCTACTTTAACTTTCTCATTTCTCAAAGGATTCATCTAAAACAATTACAAGAGAATCGTGGATGACTGAGCTTCCTCCAGAAATGAAAGACTTTGGCCTTGGGCCTAGAGCTTTTAAGAGAAGAGCTGATGACAAATCTGGAGATCGATCAGTCTGGACTGATACTCCAGCTGACAGGGAAAGGAAAGCTAAGGTAAGAGGCTTTGATTGATTGTTCCTATATGTCTGTACGTGTTGGTTGTATTTTGAAAAGATATGAGGCAAAATTATTTAAGGATACTGTTTTAAAAATTATGATTCCAAAGAAAAATACAGATGTCCCCTTGAAGGAAAGTTTGAAGAAAGGAAATGATACCAGATGCTTACTGTATTCTTTATAATATTAAATATTTTGCTAATTAAAATTCCTTGGACCGAGTACTTCATTTTTATGTGTGCACTAGTGTAAATAGTAAATATATTAAAAGCTTAAATTACAGTTATTCTTTACTGGTATATTTTGTATGTTGATCTTATAGATCTTACAGCTCTTCTACACTTTTTCTTTTAATTTCAGGAGCATGTTTTATAGATTCTTTGGAGTTTTTTTACATATACTATGCATAAAGATATTTTATTTCTTCTTTTCCGTCTTTTATTTTTCTTTATTTTTGTTTTATAATTGCTAGTAACAGATAATGTAGGATTTCTTTTTAAGCCTTATTTTCTCTCCTGAATTTCATCAGGCTCAATAATGTGTACCTGTGTTCATTCCTCAGGAGACACAAGAAGCAAGGAAATCATTTAATAAGAAGGATGAAGAATATATATTATCAGGAAGGGAAAAGAGATTGGCCGAGCAAGTATCCTCATACAATGTAAGTAAAAGAATAAAATATTTCATTTTTTCAATGCTGTTCTCATTTTTCCCCTTATTTCTTTTTTTAGTCATCCTTTTTACTTCAGTCTTTTCTATACATCTTTCCTAAGAGATATTCAGCTCTGTATTTATGTGTGTGTATACACAAATTATATATATAGATGTACATAGTACATCTATATATAATGTCATATACATCATTAGGAAAATATTATTGCTATGAGATAATAAGCCATATATGAATGCTGTGTACACCTTTAAGTTTTGCATTTAATCCTAAAGTTCACCTCCTTTCATGTCTATTAAACGATATTCCTATTTACTTAATAGGTAGGGGTCTTTCTAGAGTGCTTCATCATCAAGTCAACACCTGTTCTGTTTCTGGGATGTTCTTTTTTTTTTTTTTTTTTTTTTAAGATTTATTTATTTATGGCTTCCCTGGTGGCACAGCAGGGTAAAGCACAGTTCTGAGAAGCTAAAGCCACCTGAGCATGAGTTCGATCCCCACCCTGGAGGTGACCTACATGGCGTGGCAGACCTCTCCTGACCCGCCCACTGCTCCCCTAAGCAGTGTACTTCACCCGCCCATCTGCCTGTCCTGCTCCCCACTCTGTCTCTGGTGAATCCTCTTACCGCCCCTGCCCCTCTGGCCTGTACCCCAGTTCTGTATGCATAAATAAATAAATCCTTCTTTTTAAGATTTATTTATTTACATACATTTATTTATTACATCGACAAAGTACACTGCTGAGGGGAGCAGTGGACGGGTCAGGAGAGGTCTGCCGCGCCATGTGGGTCACCTCCAGGGCGGGGATCAAACTCATGCTCAGGTGGCTTTAGCTACTCAGTGCTGTGCTTTAAACCTATGTGCCACCAGGGAGGACCCAGGATGTTCTGTTCTTTGTACATCAAATAAACTTCAAAATTAAAAAATATATATATGTATATATATATATACACACACACACATATATAATTATATTTATATATAAAATATGTAATTATATATAATTTGTGTAGGTACTTTTAATGCATTTCAAGTAACTTTATTTAACATCTAAATGTTTTCATTGTAAGTTTCAAGTCACTGATATAATTTATAGGATTGTATAATACTGTATTAAAAGCTTCAAATAGAATGTAATTGTCATAACAATTTAATATCTATTATCATATTTTAAAGGTTTGTGTGAATACCTACTTCCTTACAGTTGGGAATTTTATTTCATCCCATTTTTCTTCCTTGAATTCATAATTTTACTTTTCCTCTACCATAGAATTTTATCCTAGCAGAATTTGCTTTTATGCTTGAAAGTTTTCTTATGACTTTATTTGATATTGTATTTCACAGCAGCAAATTAAATTGAAATTGAAATTTAATTTGAAATTATACCATTTTCTTTTTAATTTCCTGTGTCTGTAAATGTCTACACTTTTTTCCCTTCTATCAATAGATTAAATTGTAAATTCAGTAGATCAAAACAATGTAAGGATATTTAATCTCTTAATGACTTTTTTCCAGTTAAAATGTTTGGATAAATGTTACTTACTACGTTAGGTATCAACATGAGTTGTTTTCTTTTAGGTTTTCTAAGTTAATAGTTAAGAAACTGTTTATATATGAAATGGATGAAAATAGAACACAATTTGTTAAAGTGACATCATCCAATTTTTCGAACAATTTCTGAGTTATTAACTCCATAGTGATCTACTGTTAATAATAATCTCTTAATTGTCAGCTCACGAGGATCTTCTATAATTTTTTTTCACATTGATCCTATTAGTTTATTTTCTCATTCTTTCCAAATTACTTAAATGAGAATAATAGCATTTAATTTACAGAGATATTGTGAGGATTACAATATTATAAGCTGCCAATTTACTAACAAAAGCAAATATGGCTTTTGTTGAGTGGTTCTTGTTTATCCAACATTGTAATAAATCCTTTATATTCATTAGATTTAACTCCTCCTTCATTCATATATTTAGAAGTCATTATTACCATATACAACTGAGAAAATGAGGCTTGAATTATTTGCCCAAGGTCACCAGTGTTGAAAGCAATAGAACTACTATTGCAATCCAGTTTTACTGAATTTGGAACTTAAATTCCTAATGATTCCTCCATGCTATATGATTGCTAGCCTTTTTTCTTTCTTAGCAATAATTGATGAATTTTTAAAATCTTCAGTTTTGTTGAAAATAAAGAATTAGAAAGTACCTGACTTACAAATTAATTTGTTTCTAAAGACATATCAGGATTAAAGATATGACTGTGAGAGAACTGGAAACTGGAAATATTGCCAACTTACGTAAATACTTACTGATACAATATCATTTGTGCATTCTGCTAAAACTTTATAGCTCCAAATTGAGTACATTTACTTAAGAAAATAGCTAGTACAAAGCTAATTGACAAAGTCCACTCTTATTGTCAGATCAACCTGGCCAAGCTTACTTTCTTCCAGAAAGTATGACTTTATTTTTCTATTTAAATAGATATAGAATCAAATAGATTTCTGAAAGACCTCTTCATAAGTACGAAAACCTTTAATGAAATGTGAAACATCTTCATAAAGTAAGTTATTGAGCAAACCTATTTTAAGAAAGCCAACATGGAAAAGTTGAGACTAGTAAGTAGATAATCTTGAAACTGTCCATGCCTTCATAACACCATAGAATCCATTCTGCAGAATCCCTAGGGATACAGAAATCACAGTTTGAAGGCTGTTGGTCCGTTCTGCATGCATCTACTCTTGCTTCCATATCCTGCTTTGTTTTTTTTTTTAAAGATATACTTATTTATGCATACAGAACTGGGGTACAGGCCAGAGGCTCGGAGCCGTGAGAGGCTTCACCAGAGACAGAGTGGGGAGCAGAACAGGCAGATCGATGAAGTACACTGCTGAGGGGAGCAGTGGGTGGGTCAGGAGAGGTCTGCCACACCAGGTGGTCACCTCCGGGGTAGGCGGGAATCGAACTCATGCGGAAGTGGCTTTAGGTTCTCAGTGCAGTGCTTTAACCTGCTGAGCCACCAGGGAGGGCCCATATCCTGCTTTTTTAATCCAGGGCCATTTTATCATTAGTCAGTATTGAAAGGCTAATAATGAATCCCTAATTTATTAAACCAGTTGCCTTTGTGCAGCCCTCAATCTACTAGGTATATTTGAAAATATAAACACCTACCCTCAAATAAGAAGGAAAAATATGGAGGTGGCAAAAAGAGAACAGGAAACCAAAAGGAATGAAAATTCTCTCAGTATATGGAATCTTTTTCATCATACCCTTGACAGACATTGAATATGTCACTTCAGTGCCAATATTTTTCTGTTTTGCTTCAACCCAGCAAGTAGTACCCTTTTTATGCACCATTTAGACATCAAGGAACAGCACATCCATAAAGATTTAATCTATTAATAGCTTCCAAGTGAGAATATAATTGCTCTCCTTTTCTCATCATGTTCTTGGTTCATACTTTAATTTGACACATCACATGGTGCTTTTCGATGTGATTATTGAAATGTATTTTTTTCTGTCTTGCTTTTTTAAAATTATATGGTCTGTAGATAGTAGATAGCTTTACTTTGGTTAAATTGAATTTACCTCTGTTACATAATCTCTTCACAGATCCTGCCTTGGATTTGGAAAATTTACTGGGGCTTATACATTGTCCTTGATAGCCACTGCTAGCTACTTGACTTAATTTAATCATCATTTGCAGTCAATAACTAGTACAGACCAAGACTTTTATTTTTATTCTCTTGCCCAGGAATCAAAAAGATCAGAATCTCTTATGGACATTCATCATAAAAAATTGAAGAATAAGAATGCTGAAGATAAAACTAAGCCCCAAGAAAGAATACCATTTGACCGTGATAAGGATCTCAAAGTTAATCGGTTTGATGAAGCACA